TTCCAGCCTCCCTGGTAAAGGGTAGAGTGATCATCCATTCTTTTTCTTCTCAAAACCACTCTGATGAATAACCTGGTTTATGCACATGTGTGAATGTCTGCTGAATAAATTCATCAAAGTAGCATTGCTGGGTCAAAGAGTATGTGCATCTCATAATGTTGATAGCTGTCGCCTCTTCACCTTTGCGGCATTTACAGCTGTTTACCCTTGTGAACAACAGTGTGGGAAAGGGCCTGTTTCCCAGACCCCTGAAAACAGTGCTAACGAGCTTTTTGATCTTTACCCAAGTGATAAATAAGAATTGTATCTCCATGTGTTGTAATTTGCATGTCTCTTTATGATGAATGAGAGCATGTATCTTTTCCTGTGTTCCAAAGCTCTGTGTCCTTGCCTGCAAACTGTCCCTTTGCTTCCTCCATCTTATAAATGTGTTATTATTTATTTATTCCTCACTGACTTATTACTTCTTATTCATTCCTTACAGATTTCTAGGACCTTTTACATATTAAGGAAGTTTGCTCTTCGTGATTTGAATTACAGTTACTCTCCCTGTCTTTTCACTTTTGTTTAGGGAATTTACCAGACAGATATATTAAAAATTGTTTTTCTCGTCTAATTTATCAATCCTTTCTGTAATGGTTTTTTGGGGGTTGTATCATAAAATAGCCTATATACTACTCTTCCATGATAAAAGAATTACATACAATTCCAAAGGATCTTTTAGTACTTTTATGGTCTTATTTTTTTTCCCAACATTTAAATCTGAGATCCACTTGGCCTTTGTCATGATAAACAAATGAGTGGTAGAACTTGTCATTGTTCTGTACTCCCACCTGCCCTTCCACTTAGTGACATATTCCCTTTCAGCTGGACTTATCAGACACATCTCCACCCTTTTTGCTTTAGATTCCCTCCAGTGGCTTTTTACGCACACCCCACCATCCCTGGCTTCCATATGCCAAAGCCTAATGGCATTTTCTTTAAGCTCCCAGGCAGCTGTGTGATATCTAGTCACCTACTTCTTCTAGGACAATCCTTAATATTCCCCAGACCACTCCGGTTTGTCCTAGGACTTCCTCTTCATTTACAGGTGCTTGCTGAAGATAGAGTTCACCCTGAATGCTCACCTTTCTTTATGTGAGGCCCTGGGAGAGGTCGCTTTGCAGATTCCAAATGATCAACCTCTCTGCCCCAGTCTCCCTACACAGCCGAATCCTACTTCTCAAAGGCACCCTGTCATCTCCAGTAAGCTCATTTCAATCAAGAACGTGAGCAGAACACATTTCTGTTTTCTCAAAGTCCATTTTAATCTGAAATTCCCCATTCCTCCTGCTAYAATATTTCCTACCTCTTTCTTCTACCACTGCCACAGTTTATTTTTAGGGTACTTTTTCATTGTTGTTTATGAATATCTCCATCGCCAGCATCTACATACCTGTGCACTGGCCTTTTGTGAAGTTAGAGACCTCTTTTTCTTTACCCATGATAAAGGTTTATATGAAGAACAATATGTAACTGCTCCACATACGCCAACTCCACTCCTGACCCTCCCTATACACCTTCCTCCCCAATTTCTTTTCTTTTTGTTTTTTTACATTTTTTTGTTTCTATTTGGTTATATATAACATTAGGATTCATTCTGACATAATTTTAAAAGCATGGAATATAATCTACTCAAATTCAATTCCCAGTATTTCCCCCTTTCTCTTTTCTCCTCCCTCTCTTTGTTCCCTTCCTTTTACTCTACTGATCTTTCTGCTTTTTGCTTTTGGAATTTTTTTTCTATTTTTGGTCAGTGTCTTTTGGTTATACATAATGTGAGATTCACTGTGGTATATTTATGTACGTACATAGGAAAGTTAAGTTAGATTCATTCCTCTTCTTCCCTTCTCTCTTCTCCCCCAACCCCGCCAGTTCCCTTCATCTAGCCAACAGATCTTCCTTCTTTTTTTGATTGAATCCCTCCCTCTTTTCCCTTTTTTTCTCCCCCTTATTTCCTTACTTTAGATGAGTTTCCACATATCAGAGAAAACATGCAACCTCTGACTTTTTAGGACTTACTTATTTTACTTAGAACGATATTCTCCAGTTCCATCCATTTACCAGCAAATGCCATAATTAGAAACCTCTTTAGCCACATCCAGTCTCACCCAGAGCATCTCTAGCTATAGTCTCCAGACTAGGACTTCCACTTTGCTTTCAGACTCATGGCCCTGGCTCACAGACAATACACTGTCTGCCAGCAGACCCCTTTCTCTCTCTTTCTTCATCTTAGAACCCAGGAAATGCCTCTCTTTTMATGGAGTGCTCACCCTCCTCCTTCAGAAAGCCTTTTTGTGGTATTAGCATCAGTTCATGAGTCACCAACTTAAGAGCTTGCTTCTGGCCACAGATCTACCCTCCTCGTAACATCTCTTGTGAAGATAAATTGTTTCTGGTTAAAGACATGAGGGTCTCATCGGATGTACAGATTTTGGCTTTGCGGGTTCTTCTCTTCATAACCTCATGTTCTCTTTAACCTATTCTGTCACTGACCCATAACCCTACAAAGTTCTGCTCAAAAATAAACCTCCAGCAATGTCACTAAGTAAAAATGCAAATTGAAGAATGGCACACTGGGTGTRACACCATGGACACATGTGCACAAGCAGACTCTGTTTCTCCATAGATACCGTATGTAAATATGCAGAAGTAGGCATTAAAAAGTGGGACACCAAACACAATGTCAGTATGCCTCAAAGGTGACTGTGGAGGCCCTAGGTTCGGCAGTGGTGGTCAGGAGCCACTTTAAAAAAAAAAAAAAAAACCTTAGCCTATTTGAACTTTGCTACAGTGAAAAACATATTCAGTCAAAAATATATTTTAAATTCTTTAAAATTCACTTCAATGGTAGAAGTTCACTGTAGCTGAACTGGCAAATGGCAGTGCTTTTAGAATTTTAGAATAAAAAGACAGTAAGTAAAACTTAAATTTCCTAAAAAAGGGGGGGACATGAATAGAAAATGTAGAGAATACYTGAAGCATATTCCTTAGAAATCAAACAATGCCTCCCACACGTACACATACACACATCCTCTGTACATGGGCTTCATAGTGCTAGAGCAGTTACCTTCCAGGATTTTCTAAAAGTGTTAGAAAATCAGTCCTTACAAACATGTAGTTAGAGAAAAAAAAAATGACATAAAATTGCATGTTTTTAAGGCAATTCTAAAGCGTTTCTTTACCTCCCACTTTTAAGTTTTAGGCAGTTTGATTCTTTACTATTTCTACACTCCCAAAGTGGCAATTCTCATGGAGGAGGGAGCCCATGCCCAAAATATACCTGCGGGGAGTTAGTAGGAAAAGAGACCCTGCTACTGGTGGGATGTGCCGAGCGGCCAACAGGCTGAGACCATTCACTTCCAAGTCCAGCATCAGAATTAAACATTATCTGTCCAAAAAGGTAATTCATATAAGATAACCACACATACCCCAAACTGTCTTCCTAATAAAGTCATGCCTCGCCCCCGCCACCCCCACCCCCCGCAAACTCCACCATTTTCATGGCTATTTGGCTGTCTACTGTGCTGGCAACAGAGAGCCAGAATTCCAGGTTTAAGTCCCACCTGTTCCACTTTCTACTTGTGTGACCTCAGGCAAGTTGCTATACCCTTGGCTACTGGCCCTCAGGCCCCTGATCTGTACAGTGAGGTGGATCATGGGAACCTCCATTGGAGGGCTGCTCTTGGTATATGTTAGTCAGCTTTCCGTTAGGTAGCAACAAAGATGATGAACTGAGATCATCAGCTTAGGCAAAGGAAAGGTTTATTTGGGATAACAGTTGTGGAGGTTGCAGACAAGAGTTATGGGCCGATGGATGACAAAGCCACAAATCATGGTAGGGGGGCATGTGTAGGAGCTCCATCTCATAGCCAGGAAGGAAAGAAGAGGGAGGAACAGGCTGAAGTTCACAATCCCCCTTGAGGGCATGCCCTGGGTGACCCAAGACCTCTTTCTTACAAGGCCCGGTTTCTTAAAAATTTCCACTACTTCCTTGTAGTGCCTTGTTAGGAAGCAAGTCTTTACCAGGAGGGCCTCTGACTGATGCTCCAGATTCAAACTATAGCACGGTAGTGAATGAACTAGGATATTGAAACCCTCCGAATAGTGTCTGGAATCCAGGAAAGCCCTTAGATAAACTTATTATTTAATATGAGTGGACTTTTGGCTTTCAGAAGTCAAATGATTATCTAGGACACCCTAATTTGATGACTGCAGTGCAACTGGACAGAGCACATATGTTCCTCCAGTCAAGCCCTCCCGTCTTCTCAGGAAGCTCTTTTTTTTTTTTAATGCCCGGATGGCATGCATTATTGAATGCCAGCTTTTTGATGCCAACTTGGCAAATGACCATTTATCCTAAGGGCAGAGCTTCTTCCTCCCTGAGGATGAAGTTGTCCTGGGCACACTGTCAGCCAGGCCACCTCTCCATCAAATCCCATGGACCATCACCTCTGGGAAAAATCAGGCCTGTGCAGTAGGGACTGGATTTATATTCCTTTTTGGGGATTTGGGTTTTAGACAAAGAATTCTAGGATATAAGAAACACACAGTTGAGAGCCATCTCTCTTTGGTCACCGATAAAGTAGTAACAGCTGTGTGTGGTCCTCCTGGCATGAGATATTTTGAACCAAAAAAGTAAATAAAAATCTTTGTGTTGAGTACAAAGTATGAACACTAGCTTTAAAAAAAAAGGCTTTGATTTTTAACAGCTCTTTATTCACTGGTGTTGGCATCTAAAATACCTTTTGGAACAATTTTGTCAAAAGTAGTGAAATAATGATTGCCTCTTTTACCATAGGTCTTGTGTATTTGGGGAGTTCAGTGAAATAACCCTTGGCCCCACCAAGACTCTGGGCTGTGGGAGGAGTAAGGAGGAGCCTCCATTTGAATTTAAGCTCAAAGGGATAACTGTCCTTTGGCCAACACCTTAACCCAGCTCCTTTGGGTCTGTGTTGCAGGGATCATGTACCGMAAGTCATGTGCATCGTCAGCGGCCTGTCTCATTGCCTCGGCCGGGTACCAGTCCTTCTGCTCCCCGGGGAAGCTGAACTCAGTGTGCATCAGCTGCTGCAACACCCCTCTTTGCAACGGGCCAAGGCCCAAGAAAAGAGGCAGTTCTGCTTCAGCCCTCAGGCCAGGGCTCCCCACCACCATCCTGCTCCTCAAATTAGCCCTCTTCTTGGCACACTGCTGAAGCTGACAGAGATGCCATCGCTACCTGCATTGTTCTCCTGGCCCTCGTTCTTCCACCTCCCCCACCTCTTCTGAGTTGTCCTTTTATTCTGGGTAGAGAGGGGTGTCTGTTCTCTTTTCGTTCATTTGCAAATAATGAAAGAGCTCCCTGTAAAACACTTTTGTAAGCTCTGAATAAATTCAGTCGGACTGAATTTTCAATGTGTACTCAAGGGAGGGAGAGGTGCAGAAGTGCAGCACCCGGGTTCATGTTAACCAGCCAGGCAAGGCTGGCAGAATCAGCCTTTAGAAGCCGCTAAGGTGGGGCATCTGCCTTCCCAGGGCCGCTAGCTTCCATTCTGTCCCGGATGGGGCACTGTTTATTTTGTGACTTGCTTTCGTGGGGGAAGGGCCAGTTCCCACTCAAGGTTTCCTTGTTTGACATTTCACACTTCATGCTCCTGAAAACCATTCTCGACAGCAGAATTGGCTGGTTTCGTCTCTGGGTTGGGCTGTGGTGACTCCTGAYTCAGTTGCTGGGGATCAGACTCAGACTCGGGCTTGGCCTCACTTTGAAAAGTGCTTAAGAAAACCTTGTTAGTTCGCCTTGCAGAAGAACCGCGCTGGGAAGCCAAGAAGATGAGCGGGCTGCGGGCGGAGCGGGCGCTGTCGGTGGTGGAGCGTCCGTGGGCGCGCAGGCGCTTCTCCTGGTTGGCATGCTCGAGGGTCAGGTGGCAGCGCAGCACCTGCCCAAACACCCTGCGGAACTGTTGCGAGGACACGTTGTACAGGAGCGGGTTGACCACYGAACTGAGGTAGAAGAAGGTGTCGGAGAAGGGTAGGAGGATCATGTATGCCTGGAAGTAGGACCTGGTCCAGTTATCCTTGGGCTTGGCTGCAGCCATGATCCTTCGAATCTGGTTTGGCATCCAGCATACTGCTAATGTCACAACGATCAGTCCTGAGGAGGAGAGGGAGAAAGAGAGAGGAAGAGGGGGGAAAAAACAGCATGAGAACAAAAATAAATAAATATAAATAAATAAATAAATAAAAACATAAAATATTTAGCCCCTTGGTTCTGTGCTTACTGGCCAGGAAATGGTACCAATTTTTCAATGTTGTGCTTGACAGCTTCTTTTGCCACTAGCAAGAGAGAATTTAACGCTGTTTCAAGCTCGGGGGAGTTGGCTGTGTTAAAGACCATTAAATGCTTTAGACAGTGTATTTATACCTGTTGATGCCTGTTAATTTTAAGAATGTTTTCATTGTTGCTTGTGTATCCAGGAAACATTTCATGTTGTCCATAAATCTGATTTTGTCTTTTTGTTTTAAAGCAACAGATGTCTGCATATTGTATAGTCATCTTAGATGAAATGATATTTGTATTTTAAAGAAGGTCTGCACAAAGAAGACCCAGTGATGTTTTTAAGTCAAGTGGAAGGAATTTTTTCTCTAATGAAGAAGCATATTTAGCAACACCGATTTTGCATTCAATTCCCAAGGAAGCAAAATCGGGGATAGTCAGTCACTGAGAATGTTTTTTTGGACAAATATGTGCTAGCCATACACACCTATAATTATGATGCTCACATCTGCAACAGCACCTCTGCTTCTTTTCAAACACTTTTAGATAAATCACCTCTTCCACCTTCATGTGGGAAACATTCTCCAAAAACAAAACAAAAAATAAATATATATTCAACTTTTTTTAAGTTCAACCAGGAACGTGCTCACTGACTTTGTAGCTCAGTGTCAGCAGCCCAGAATTCATGGGGCCCTAGCAAAGGGACACCATTCAGTGGCCCCTGCGTGGATCAAATGTTGGCTGCATGAACACCTATTTGCATGTCCACATGCCTGCATAAGATTTATATAATCATTGCTATCTATGATTCTGACAGATACAGAGATGCTATATAGAACACAAATAACTAAAATTGCCGTTATCATGAGAGTTGATCTACAGTGACAAAACAAAACAAAAGGAAGATCAGGGAGTCCGCAGGGCATTTGCTCTCTTTTCTAGAGAAAGTAAGAGCACAGAACATAAGTTCCCATGTAGAGAGCTGATATCTTAAAGTAGTATTTACATTTTCAGGAATGCTTCCTCCCTCTTCTAAATTGGAGTCATAATCATAAGAAAAATCCATTCACATTTTCAAACCTTCTGATTTTTCTAGGGGAGTGATGGTCAGCAGTGATTACTTCTTGCCTATGATTGATGGCAAATATTATTAATAAATGTTCCAGGAAAATAGCCATGTGCCCATGCCCTGCCTGACCATACTGCACACACTTGCCTGACCATCCCTTGCACGGAAATATCTACCCTAAGGACAAGTCCTCCACAAAGCCTGTCTATCAGCAACAAGGGCCTAGAAAACTCAGCTCTCTTGTTAATTTCCAAGTGTTCTTCCTGTTAGACCTCAGCCTAGCTTTGAAATATAAACCAATTTGCTTATTTCTTCTCTTTGAATTTGCTACCCTGAGAACAGTCAGTAAATCTAAAAATAAAAATAGGCAAAGAAACATATTGATCAGATGAAAAGGCAAAAAAAAAAAAGTACCATCTTAAGTCAAGAGTATATTCTGAATCACCTAGTTACAGCTGCTAGGTGAGAACAAAAAAGTCAACATTTTTCTGATTTAAAAAAAAAAAAAAAACACTTGCATAAGAAACAGGGAGCTTTTTTCATGACCTTGAGGAGCATGGATGCTTCTAGCCACCTGTGCTATCACACATTAGTTCTTGAGTTTCTGCTCCTTGTGTTCATCCCATGCAGTTCTGAGTGAGTAGTTCCTCCCATCTCATTGTGAGGGAGCTAGGAAGCTTCCCGTACCCGGGGAAGCTATGTATCTTCACAAAGTTTTACAGTTTTTTTTCTCTTCCCTGTCACTGTATTTCACAAAACAACTACATGTTATTTCTGAGAATATGGAAATTGAATGCATGGTTTTAGATAGGTTAGGTTGTTCTTCTGGTGGCAGAATCTAGGAAGGAGATGAGAAGCACCTTGTCCTTACCAGAGACTGAACATTGCACAGCTTTTAAAATCAACAGGCAAGAACCAGGAGAAAGAAGGCAGGGAGTGGGGAGTTGGGCAAGGGGTAAGAAGTTAAAAAAATGCTTCTCTTCTTCCCTGTTTGTTTCTCCTTTTCTTGATCTTTTGCTCACACAACCCTTATTCTGTTAGTTTCCCATATGCACTTGTCTGGTCTCAACTGTCCTTGACAAATCACCCCATCAAAAGAAGCAGAGTTGAGTAAAAGGCAAGACCTAGCATCCAGGCAGAAGAAAAGGAACAGGGGCAGACCAAGTACTGTATCTTGCTTTGCAGTTTTAGCTGGGATAAAATTCTTTCCCTGAAATTGAAATGAGTTAGTAAGTGGGGAAAGAGCTCAGTCTGAATAAGTAGCAGAAAATAGAGAACCAGATCAGAGATTCTCAATGATAAGAAAAAGAAAGGAGAATTCATCTTTCTGGGGATAGAAATAGGTAGACGTGACAGCAAGTACAAACCTGAAGATCAAGCCACACAAGGATCTGAATTAGAAATGAACCAGAATTTTAAAATTATGCATCTGACAGGTCTTGAGATGCAACCAGGAATAATGCTGAATAGTTACTGAGTTTTCTCCATGCCAGTTTCTGTACTGAACACTCTACTTATTTGTTATGTGTTTCTCCTGACATCAACCTGGTGAATTCTGACCAGGGAGGTCAAAACAGCAATTCATTTAACAAATGAGAAAGTTTATGCTCAGAGGAGGTCAGCTGCCCAAATGTTACAGCCAGGACATGGGCTTGCCAGGTTCCAAAATCCACAATATCTATTTTTCTCTCAAAACACAATGTTGTCAGCTTGAAAACTACAGAAGTAAAGCCAAAAAGTAAACCTTAACTAGATTCTAGCATGTAAAATGAACATGGAGCTGCTCTGCCCACTGAAAATATATAATGTAAGCCATATATTTGATTTAAAAATTTCAAGTAGTCACATTCAAAAAGTAGAGGTAGCTGAAATCAATTTTAATAATGTCCCCTAATTAAATGCACACTTAATTGAATTTTACATGTAATTTCAACATGTAATCAATATAAAAATTATTGATGAGGTGTTTTTACATTCATTTTTCATACTATGCCTACAAAACTCAGTGTGACTTTTATTTTCATCATACATCTTAATGGGGTCCAGACGCATATGGCTAGTGACTCCTGTATGGACAGTAAAAATGAAAATAATTCTTCCTAGACTCTCCCCAAGGTGTCAAGCCTCCCTATTTCGTCTTTTTCCCATTCCCCTAGATGCAGTTTTCCTGGCTATATATATATATATTTTTGTCTAACCACAGAAGCTCCAAGGAATCTCCTATGTAGCCTTTATTTGCAATAATGTATRTATTTTTGGTTTATCAAGTCTTCTCATATAAAGCTGTCCACAGAAGAGAGCTCCAAATTATTTAAAGTCTAATTCYGAAAATACAAAGATGTAATTTTCATTTCTCACGCTAAACTTTGTCTAACCATTCTGAAATTGTGCCAGCTACCTGGCAGAACTGTTAGAATATTCTTTCCCCACCTCAACTGGAGGTGGGAAAAAATGACTGGTACCTTTCTTTCTGTGTTTTGAAATATAATTTTGTTCTAGAGAAAATGGAGCATTGGGCACTCAGGTACAGTCAATGACAAATGTGAGACATGTACCCAAGGATGATGTAATAGAGGTTAGCCTCTCCAGAAAAGGAAGCCAAACTAGTCCCCTTGTAAAATTTGTCATTTTAATAATGACAGGTAATTGCTCACTTTTGCATCTGAAGAAAAAAAAATGTTCATTATTTGAGATGAAACACTGTTGAGAATAAATACCAYGCCCAAAGGTAACTTTCTATTCTGGCTATTTGCAATTGATTCAACTCTAGTCCCAGTTACTCTGTAGCTAAGACAAAGCTTTAAAGTCTTATTCATGCCTTAATAGAGAGTATTAAAGATTTGACTAAATTTATGTTTGATTGCAATCATTTGGATATGTATATTACACTTGGAAAAAATCTATAATGCTTTGGTCTGTGTAGTGTAATATGCAACCCACTGTTAAATAACATGAGWGTGAATTTGAATGAAGATCTGTGATCTGAACTCACTCATGTACAGCAGGTAAACTGTTTTAACTAAATTATTGATAGATCTGCATTACTGTTCCAGACAACCTTGCATACTGAGTTATGAAATACCTTCATATTTTATCTGTTTTCTTCCGCAAACAGTACTTCCATTTTTCCTCTTTGATCACTACACTGAAATGACAAGAGCCATTTGATGATGACACAGATTCATCCTCAGCAGAGTGATGTTGTTTAAAAAACAGAGGGAAGCAGACATCCAACAACATTCTGCACAGTAGCCTGACATTTCAACAGCATTTGAGTCAGCCTGCTTGGTTTAATTTTCAGAAGTGCCGGAGGTTCTGCAGCCTGGGATATAGCATCCCTGATATATCTGACGCCGTGCTTTGTTTTCTCCCCTCTAAACATTAAAGAGAAGGTAACTATTTATGTGTTCCCCAGATTTTTTTTTTCTTAAAGACTCAGAGAATGGAAGAGTAGGAAGAGAACTTACAAAGAAGGAAATCTGAGGCCAAGGAATTTACCCAAGACCTCCATGGGTCAGGGAAGCAGAATTCCTTTACCCTGCAGTGCTGATCCCAACTGGACGCTAGCCCAGGTTGCCAAGTGAGGCTATTATTTTTTTACTATAGTTCCCTCCATTCCTTATTTTCGGCTCAAGTGCTGACCATTCACAGCATGGGATGCAGAGAGGCAGGTCTATGCCACATCTCCTCTCAATATCTTAATTCAGCTTTAGAACTAGGTCCTCACAAAATAGGCATTTGGAAAAATTCTCAAGTACACGAGCTCCTCTCAAAGGATGAAGCCCCAGTCCGAGGTAGTTGGAGAGTG